TGGTCCACAAATGATACAATTCAAAGCCCAAAAGGAAGGTTCAACTCTCCAGCCAATGTCAAGTTAGTCAAAGGTTCAATCCAAGTGGCAAGCCCACTTGACTCCAAGGGCCCAAGCCCCATTGTTGAGCAAAGGTATAAAAGTTGGCCTTCATCTATTTTTACATCCATCCACAATCAGCCTCAAGCACAAAATCTCTTGCATAGCTCATTCTCTGTCTCTTAAAGTACCATACTGATTTCGGCATCGGAGGGGCCTTCCTCGGCACAACCCCTGAGGCCAGTTTTACGTGCTCTGTGCTGTGCAGGAAACCCTGGGCTCCAGCATTCTTCGGACCGAGACTCGTCTTCTCCACCATGAAAGGGCCTGCCGAAGGCCCTATTGTTTTCATATCGAAACACAATATATGACTTGAATTGGAGTCATGGGACTATGCCAAAGGTTTCATGGATCCCAATCAAGCTAGAAGATGATTTTAGCTGATATATATTGCAAATTGATCTACATTGTAAAATTAATCGAAGACTTTGAACAGTATGTCTGAACACAATTTACAGGGAAGAAATTTTGGTAGATAGGGATTTGATCTAGGGGGGCTGCTTAGGCCATTGCCTGCCCATCACTAAAACAACTTACTACGGAGTATAACCTATCATATACTTTATTGATCTAACAAGCAACAATCTACTGTAACTACTAACTAAACCAGTTAATCAGCTCGATTGGGTAGGGTTCGACAGGTAGGTTCATTTTGAGTCGGTTTAATACTGGTCATGGGTTGAGAAATGTTCAAACCGAATCCATTGTTTTGGGTTCTAGTCAACAAAACCTGATTAAGAATTACTTTTTGATTTAATTTTCTTTGGAAAACTTGACTTTGATTAACAAAAAAAAAACACAAAATTGGTTTTTTACCACCAAATCATCTACAAATTGTATTTTACAACAACAAAAAACTAAAATTGTTTTCCACCACCTACTATCAAAAAACCATTAAATATATTTTTTTATGAACCTTTATTTTAGTTTCGTGCTAAAAAATGTTGTTTAGAGGTTTGGGGTCATTTTGGTCCTTAGGGATTTCATTTGAGGTTAAAATTGACAAAAAATTATTGCAAATGCAAAATAAGTCGAATATTTAGGAATTAATACAATATATATAAGATGTTGTCCGATCCTCTCAAAGAAAAATAATATTAATAAATGAAGAAATATTATTGATCGCGCACAGCAGCACGCGATGCACAATATCTAAATATAGCTAGTTTTACATTTAAATTTAATTAAAGGATTCGACAAACTTACCATATTTTAAACATAGTGACCCTAACATAAAATATAGTAACCTTAATTTTAAGAGAGTAACCTTCATTAAACCTTGTGTGACCTTTAATATTATTGCGAACTTGAAGTAGGACGTTATGTTGAACAATTCTAATTTTAACATAGTGATGTTTATTATTCATATTGATCAATATTTTAAAAAATTCATTAAAAAAATTAACCTCTAATAACCTTTATAAAAGCATAATGACTTTTATTTTAACATAATAACCTTTATTTTAACATAGTGACATTTAGTTTAATTGTTAGTCCCTTCGTTTCTAAATAATTGACACACTTTCCTTTTTTGTTCGTTCCTGAATATTTAACACATTATTAAAAATAACAAGGATCCACTACTATTTAATTATTTTCTTATCTTACACAATAACCCACCACTTTTAAGGTTTACATTAAAACAATCCTCACCCACACTCAAACAACCACATTAACTTCACTTTACAATGACCCACTATTTCTATGAATAAAATAATATTTCATTAACTTCACTTTACAGTAGACAATTCAATAAAATTGCCCCGCTTACTACTCAAAAATTTCTTAAGCTCTTTACCCATTTCAAAAACTGACCTAATAAATTAACAAGATTGATTTAACCTAGACTTGACTAGTATTTAGCTTACCTCTACAGAAGCGGACTATATTTTAAGTCGTTCTAGGTCAATTCATCATGAGCCTTATTAGTCGATCCAATCCATTAAACTTAAGCTTTAATATACATTATTAGTCCTAGACATTTCGAGGTTCATCAAAGGTTCAAATCATACAATGATAAAATGTACTTCCTCTATTTTTTAGTTGCACCATTAATGCCAATATATTGCTTTTGCCATTAACATCTTTAATTATGATTGATTAAAAGTTATGAAAGGTGATATTTTAAATTTGACATTAAGATGAATCTAAATAAATCCCACATGACTATATTTTTCCTTATGTACAAATCACAAAAGATAATTAATTAAAGGAGATTGGTTGTATTTGCATTTGGTCCCACGACGAACCACCGGTGACTATGACTTATGTTAGAGGTTAATCTAGAAAAATCTATATATGGTATGAAAAATCTAGTGTATAGATTAAAAAAATCTAGAATGAAGTAGGAAAATCAAGAGAGGTTTAGAAAAATATTGTAAAATATCTAAGATGAGTGATGTAGAAAAATCTAGATACATGTAATATGAGATAAATGTAGAAAAATCTAGAAAGTGGGAAAACACCACTATAAATATTTTATGTGTGCATGAGTAAGAAGTGAGCTAATCATGAGCTCCACCAATGGTTGATAGAAATTAAGGGTTTTATCAAGAGAGTGAGAGACATGAGCTGAAGAAATAAAATTGGGTTAGTTGGTAAAATGGGTACCAATATAAAAGATTAATAATATAGAATATGAAGCAAATCAAGAAATGGTTGGTGACATGGGCATCAACGTTCATAACAAGGAAAACTTCAAAAAATCAAGTTTAGAGATCATTGAAGAAAGAAGTATCAACGGAGTTTTTCAACAAAGATTTTTCAAGAACAAGAGGGAGTGATAAAGGTTAATCTAGAAAAATCTAGATGTGGTATGAAAAATCTAGTGTGTAGATTAGAAAAATCTAGAATGAAGTAGGAAAATCAAGAGAGGTTTAGAAAAATCTTGTAAAATATCTAAGATGAGTGATGTAGAAAAATCTAGAAAGTGGAAAAACACCACTATAAATATGGTATGTGTGCATGAGTAAGAAGTGAGCTAATCATGAGCTTCACCAATGGTTGATAGAAAATAAGAGTTCTATCAAGGGAGTGAGAGACATGAGCTCTCACAAATATGTTTGTACAATTTATGATGAAATTTATGAAATCATAAAATTGTTATATGATATTTAGGTCCATTAAACTTCCACGTGCGCCCAAATTCTATCACCTTACTAGCAAATAAATATCTTGGTTCCACAAGACATAATCCTATGGATTTTGTCTTAAATTAATGAACTATCCAAATAATTTTGCAAATCATCAAATTTACATACCAGCTAGCTTGATGGCATGAATGAAACCAATCTCGATTCTACTTCAGAAGACTAAAGGGGTTCTATCTCAAAATCCTATGGTTGTAGCTAAGAGGATTAGTCCCTTTACCATAATGTGCTTAATTCTCTCCATTTTTATTTTTATTTATTTTATTTTATTTTTTATTTTATTTTTTGTTGTTGTTGTTTTTTTGGCAATGCAGAACTATACACTCACTTGTATTGTTATAGAGGATTATGGTTCAACACTCCCCCTCAATATGAGCTTTATTTTTAATTCGGTCACATGTGACGTTTTATGGGGCTCGAGTGTGTTTTCAATAACCCTTGAGTGTGAATTGTTGTAGATAGATGGAAGGTTAGTACTACATATATGGAAAGAGAAAATCTCTGTTTCTCACCGTAAGAAACAGAAGAGTTTCTCACGATGGCATTTCTGTAATAAAATTAATGTTTTTCACTTACTGGGATGCTGACTCGGATGTGCCTATGTGGCATTTTGCTGAGTGGACGCTGAGTGGGGACATTGTGAGAACGGGATTCGCCTATGTTATGTTACAGATTTCGGTGTTTAGGCGGGATACTATTCACACATCACATCAGTTAAACAGTTGAATTAGCAGGTACTATCTTCGTCCAGTCGCTTCGCTTCTTCTAGTGCATTCTTGCAGGTACTATCTTCGGGAATTCACACATCTTCAAACATCTTCGAGTTGAACAGCTTCCCAGAACACTATTTCCAGACCCAGTTGAATTAGCAGGTAATTATGATGTTACAGAGCTCATAATTGCGACCGAATTCAGAATAATTTTGAACGTAATGGTATAATGAGGTTAATGCCTCTTTTATAATTGCGGCCGAATGATTTTGTTGAAAATGCAATTTATACTTGTTGATAATGTGTTGTCTTCGTATGCTTTGAACAAATCCCTCTGTTAATGCCTCTGTTAATTTTTGAAAATTGGTTGTTTTACTTTGTTAGTTGTTCAACTGGTTGATTGATTTGTGTCGGTTGGTTGTATTTCTGTGTTGGGTTGAATTTGTGCTGTGAAAACGTGTTGGTTGATGAACTGGTTTAATTTGTATTGTAATTATGTTGGTGTTCTGTATTAGTTTGTATTGTTCTGTATTTGAAGGGTGAATTGTTTTTGATGGAGAAGACTGGTATCATGACTGATATTATGGAAATGGAAACTGAAGGCGTTATTAGGGGCAGTGAGGTTGGTGTTGGTGATTGTGGGAGTGTCGTTAAGTTTAGGAGTAACGTTGATATAGAGGAGGAGGGCAATGACATGGAGGGTATAGAAGACATAGTTGTTGCAGATAGTTGTGATGAGGGTGTTGGTGTAGTTGGTGTAGTTGGTTCAGTTGACATGAATGTAAATGTTAGGTATTTATCCCCCGTGAAAACAATTCATACGACTCACACTGTGGTTGGTAGCAACGAAATGCGTGTAATTGTTGAGGAGCCTAAGGAAGGGATGGTCTTCCGGTCTTGGCAAGAGGTTGAAGCCTACTATAAGGAGTATGCTGAGCAGATGGGGTTTGGAGTGTCAAGGGTTCAAGGCGTAAATTCTAAGACGGCGGACAAACAAAGAATTGCAAGCACGTAGAGGTGTGAGTGTTGGGGTAAACCCGACATGAGGGCTAGGAGGGAAGCGAAGAAGAGGGCAAAGGCAATGGGTGTTGGAGGTTCAGGTGGTTTAGTTGATGGGGTGGTATGTGAGGATGAGTTAAGTTCGTAGGAAGAGGACTTCGAAAAAGTGTGAATGTGAGGCCCGTGTTTATGCTAGAGTGAATGAAGATGGCATGTGGGTGTTGAAGACAGTGCACTTAAAGCATAATCACAAGATTGATCCGGCAAATTCTAAGCTTGTGAAGGAGTACCGCATGAAGCAAATGACCTCAACAGTGAATAAGAAGCTGATGGATTTCTATGAGCAAGGTGTACCAATTTCTCAAATACACGGTTTCATGGCGACCGAACGAAACGGTAACATGGCTCTCACCGTCAAAGATTTACAACATGAGGTGTACAAGGCTAGGCGGTTGAAGATGGTTGGAGGGGACTCGGTGGCAATGATGGAGTACTTTGAAAAAATGCAATCCGGCAACCAAAATTTTTTCCATGCTCAACGTTTGGATGAAGAAGGGAGGCTTAAGGATGTGTTGTGGGTGGATGCAAGAAGTAGGGTAGCTTATGAGGACTTTGGTGATGCGGTTTGCTTCGACGCAACATACCTAACAAATGAGTACGAGCTCCCATTTGCGAACTTTGTTGGTGTGAACCACCATGGGCAATCGTTGTTGTTGGGATGTGCTCTTGTTTCACATGAAGACTGCGATACGTTTGCGTGGATATTTCGATAGTGGCTAGCTTGCATGAACAACCGAGCTCCTAAAGCCATTTTGACCGACCAAGCGGCAGCTATGCGGATGCCCCTTGCTGAAGTCATGCCAAACACGGTTCATCGTTGGTGCCTATGGCATATCATGAGCAAGATCCCTAAGAAACTTGGCAAGTGTGCACGGTATGTTGTGTAAAATTATGTTATACAAATCTGCACATAAATGTAAATTTGCTATGTTGTAAATCTGCAAAAATCTCAAGGTCTTGAGATCAGTTTCATAGGACGAATAAACTGAATCACTTATGTAAAAAAAGGCCTTGAAATTCAAGGCAAAGCTGAGAGACAGGCTATTGACTTTTCAACAGATTGTAAAATTATGAGTTAAACTGTTGTTCTGCTGTTATGGACTCTAACGTTGCTCATTTTTGTCTAGTTACCAAGAGTTCATAAACCCCCTCAAAGAGCTGGTGTATGAGAGCTTCAACCCCGAGGAGTCCCAAACTCGATGGGCAGAGTTTATAGCCGAGTATAAGTTGGAGGACAATGAATGGCTACAGAGCCTACACAAAGAGAGTCGTATGTGGGTGCCTGCTTACATGAAAGAGTTTTTTTGGGCTGGTATGAAGACCACACAAAGGGTGGAGAGCATCAATCGGTTTTTCGATGGCTATGTTAACCGCAAAACCAAGCTACATGAGTTTCCTCAAAAGTATTGCATGGCCTTGGATCAACGCGTTCGAGATGAAGTGAGTGCAGATGAGCGTTGCTCGAAGTACCTTAGGAGGTTGGTTAGTGGCTTCAAAGTGGAAAAAATATTTCAAAAGTTGTACACGGACAACAAGTTTCAAGAAGTTCAAAAGGAGTGTACGAGAATGATGTATTGCAACGTCCGAGGAGAGAAGGTTTTGTCTGAAAACCTTATTCAGTATTCGGTGGTCGATCGTGTATGGATAGTACCTCCCAGTGCTAGTGAGGATGTCATTACAGATAGGCGACGAACCTACAATGTTACTTTCTTTCCAATGACAAAGGAGGTGCAGTGTGACTGTAGGAAGTTTGAGACAAGTGGCATACTTTGCAAACACTGTATTAGGATTCTCGATGAAAACTTGGTTGAAGATCTGCCAGAGAAGTACATTGTAGCCCGTTGGCGGAAGGACATACCCCGGAAGCACACTAGGGTGAAGGTGGCCTACCATGATCCGGGCGACACGGTCACTGTGAAGAGATTCAACAAAATGATGGTTAAATTCGAGCCCTTATGTGAAACCGCCGCCATGGTGGATGATCAAACGGTCCATATGGTAATGAAACACTGTCGAAGCTTCAATTAGCTGTTAATGACCGTAGGGACAAGAAGAGTCAGGAGAATGTTCCTGTAGTTAGTACACTATCATCAGCAGGTGAAGATAGAACGATTTCCTCAGTTGGGAATCCTGCTCCTACTGCTCCTGCAGAGCCCGGAGACCCCTGTCCAGCTGCCATGGACCAAGTTCTCAAAGACCCTATAATTAAGAAACGGAAAAGGGGCAGGCCTAAGGGTTCAAGGCACAAAACGTTAGCTAAAACTGGCTACAAGAACAAGAATAAGAAGCCTAGTCCTGTTAAGATTTATGCTTTGTTCTTTGTTCAATAACTGCTTATCCTGTTATTATTCTATTCACTCTCTGACTGCTGTTATTATTCTTTAGGACGCAGGAGATGATGTTGGTGTTGAGGAGGATGCAGGAAATGGTGTCAGGAGGATGCAGGAAACGGTGTTGAGGAAGAAATGGTGTTGCAGGAAATGGTGTTGAGGAGGATGCAGGAAAAGGCAGGAATGGGAGAACCAGGTAAGACAAAGGGGAAGACCAAGGGGATGGCAAAGGGGAAGGGCATTCCAGTCCAGGGGAAGTCAAATACGTCTTCTCGAAAGCTACCTGTAAGTATGAAGGACCAAATTTATGTCATTCTACTTCCAGTGATTATTTATATCACATCTAACTAATGGCCGCTAAGTGACCATTTAAGTTTGCTGCACATCACAGGTGAAGCAAAAACGTCTTGATGAACTAATGGCCGATGAGTGAGTCATGTTTAAATATGAAGAGTCTGAGCATAGAAGAAACAAATCTTTTGTCCAAGCGTATGAAGACCAGGCTCTTAAGATGAGTTTCAAGGAAAAAGATTGAATAAACTGATTAATTTCAAAGTTTTGAGATTCAACTCAAAGCTTGTAAGTTAAACTGAAATGTGATCATAAGCATTTGAAACATGTGAAACAAAAGCAACAATGTGTTGTTAAAAGAAAGTTTATCAGGTTAGATGTTCAAAATAAGTGGCTCGATTACAAATGTAGTGACAAACCCTAAAAGCAACTAAAATGGAGAATAAACTTAGAAAAATGCTTTTACATTAGCAGCTTCTCACAGATCTTCTCACTAGACAGAACATCCTTCACCATCAGCAGGCAGCATGCACGCACTTGGTACTAGTCTTCACTGTAACTAGAAACCTGTTTTCCAACATTCAAATTAAAGGATTAGTGAGTTAATTAAGTAACCTAATAATATGATTTTTTAGACAACAACATTGAGGAAGTTCAACCTCAATTGCTTTAACGGTGCCAATAATACGATCATCATCATTCGAGTCATCAGCAGCTATCAGCATGGTCGACTCCACCCTATGAGGATCGTAAAACACCACGGTCCCTCCGAGCAAACCTCCACCCGCGTCATGCCGCCAGGACATAGTTGTGCCTAGTTTCGCTAGGATCCTTTCACAATTGGTGGAAGTTGCCCCCACCTCTGTCACTATCATCAGAATTGGGTTATGGGTTGCAACAATTTGTTCAAAGTGGTCGATAAAGGATGGACGGGTGATCCTCCGACCATTCCAAAGCACAACAGCAGCTCCAATGTCCAGTTTTTCATCGTTACCATCTAGCTCCGGACGAAGGGCGACAGTATGGTAGCGGCTTGTTAGGTCATATGGGATGAACTGCCCCCTAGACACGGTGTAATTGATCTCCGTGATAGGAGACCTCACCTAAACAGATGTTGTGAGCATGCCATGTTAACTCAGCAATCTTATGAATGGGCCACTTATCATCGTTTATCACAATCACGAGTCATGGTAAGTGAAGATGTTTTTGTTTACTTATGAATGATGGAAGTCAAACCCATGTTGCAATGTTATATTATGTTATGTTCCAGGCTGATGATAGTGGAATTTGCTTTTATTTCTATTTAAGTGAATTAGTTTCTTCCGCCTTGAAACTAATTGAAACTAATTTCAAGCCCTTGAGATTTATAATTTTCGACAAGCTCCGCTATTCCGGAACTTAAAATTATTGTGATGAACTTAAAAATAGAATTAATCAAGCAACCCGACTACAATTGGCTAAATCAGTCTACTTCGGTACTACCATCCAAACTTAAATGTTATATTTTGCTCAAAACCCGGTAATCGATAATGGAACAAAAATTGGCATCAAGTAAATGCACTTAAAATTTACGTCTGAAGGAGGCCCAAAAAAATTAAATTAGGTCATATTGCAGGCAAAAATTACGGTAAAATTAGACGAGACGAGGGTACGTATGTATGTTACCTGCAAGAAAAGAACATCATCCGTGTAGCTGCCGAAATCGGCTTTGACGCCAGCCAGTCCGAGGGAGTATATAGGGCCAGTCGTTGGGATTCTTGGCTTCGGGTCTATCTTGTCCATCAACAATTTCGGAATGATTTTGGTTTTACCCTCGTACTCGACATTATCATGTTTTCCCAGCTCACGAATGGCAGCTTGCACCTCCGGTTTCGCAACGACATCAACAAAGTTGGGTAAGTGAGCCGGAAAAATCTCACGAGCCTCATTGACCATCATCATCCTGTCCATGCGGTGCTGCTCTTCTTTAGGGTTGGCGACAATTTTCCTCATGAATATCGTATCCAATGACATGCAAGGTCAAATTTCCTCTTTGGCTATGAAAATAGACATAGTCATTGAAGTTCATTTCTTGTACAGGGTTTGTGTTGTACTTGAAACAGTATTTGATGTTATCAGTCGCCGTAGCCGCGAAGAACCCAGGTGGATAAGGCACTTCTTGGTTAGGTTCCATGGTGGGAAAGAAGAAAAGAGAACAGAGGGTAGGTGTTTCTAAGAAAAAAAAAATTTCAATGAATATACTAAGAAAAAAAAAAATTTCAATGATATCATAGGGGCCAAACAAGTTCACTGCTCGTTGTCAACTTCACTAATTGACTAGTGCCATAAGTTGGATAAGTTCAGTGTTGTTGAACAGGAGTCCGACTGACATACACTTTGAAGACTTGAGTTGTCATTGTCAATAGCCGCCCGACTGACACATGACAACTCAAGTCCAATAGCAGTCCGACTGACCTTTGGCATTGAGTTGGTCATTGTCAATAAGGTGAATTACCGTGTCCTTTTACCATGTCCTTTTACTTGAATCGCATGAACTAAGGTGAATTAACGTGGTGAATAAGTGAACCCGTGTCCTTTTACCACGTCAAATATCTTACACACTCAATCGTGAATCGTATCTCCAGTGTTGGTAGTGCAATTGTGACACGTACAATGATAATTACTGTACGAGAGCACATTGTATATGTGTAACAATAATATATTAAATGGGTTATAAGTTGCATAACCTTAGTATATATTATTTAATGGGTTATAAGTTGCATAACCTTAGTGTATATTAAATGGGTTAATTGAAATGGGCGAGCCCCAGTTACTCACGAGGAGAAACGAGTTTTGTTTCTCTAGTGGCAGTTTCGAAATTACTTCCAACTTTTTTCCTTTCTGAGCTTCTGAGTAGGCATGCTTAGTTGGCTATCATGTGGAATGGCGTTAATTTCGATTCAAACGTTTTCAGTTAAGCTTCTCCTCCCCGTAAAATAATTTTACAAAAAAAAAAAAAAAAAAGCTTATCCTCTCTCCGTTAATGGTGAATCCTCTTAAAATAATTTTTTTTTTAAAAAAGAAAGCTTATCCTTTAAAAAAAATGCTTTACAGAATAAGTAATAGTTATTTACATGCAATTCATACAGGTTAAAACCAACGGTTATAAATGATGAGTCGCCTACCTACTTCCTCCTTGTTATCTTTTGCAGGTACGTAGGTAATGAATACATGCATATAGCTACCTACTGCCTGCATTTCAGAAAGGCCAAATCACTCAAAATCCCCCAAATTATGGATCTTAGACAATAATTTCCCATGTTAAGTTAAACTTTGTTAATTTATCTTTTTACATCTCACATGCCTGAAGCACGAGTCCGAGCTTGTTAATTTATCTTTTTATCTTTTTACATCTCACATGGCTGAAGCAGTCAATTTTCTTTTGGGCGCCATTGATGAAGGAAAGGAAATAAATTTCCAAGAAAGTGAGAAAGATGAGTTTAGAGAGAGAAAATATCAGAAATTTTGGAGCAGGGATGAAGAGAAAAAGTGACGGCTGACAGACAAAGTGAAAAGAAGTGGGAAGGTGAAAAGGGTAGAGGTGAAACGATGTGATGTAGGCTGACAGACAACAATTTCCCAGTTGACTGAGTTACCCTAAGCCATTAGTTTTTTTTATGTTACAGTTTCATATACAACAAATATTAAAGCCAAAATACTTATCTTCGCCATAAAACAGTTCAACTTTATCATGAACAAAATTTATATATCTATGTAACATTTTATCTACTTGCAATAAGAAACCGTTAAATTTTGTCAAAGTGATTTCACCTTGGATAAATTATTATTGTCAAACAAAACAACCTAATATCCACATCAAAAATCTAAATAACTTGTTATATGACTCGGAAATAAGCACGGTAATAATTGCAACGAAACAGACAACTAATCAGTTTAGTAATATGTCTGACGTAGAAAATATTTGATAACATAATTGGGTATCAACACCACTTCAACTATCATTAGGATATTACAATATTAATTTAACTACGACAATGATAATAACACGATCAGTCATTGCAAGGACCGTTTCTCCCTTAGTCGTACCAATCATGAATGGTTGGGTCATCATCTAACCTCACATTTGAAAACCAATCTGCTTCATACTCCTCCGAGTCGCTTCGTGCGTCGTCAAGAACGTATACACTGTCTGAAATGTTCTCAATCACCGAATCCAAAGTGGGCTTCGGCTAATAAGAAGGATTAATGTTACGTGTGTTCTTTACTGAACTTAAAACAAGTTAGCAAAAATTTAATATAACGTATTATACTTTTCAGTAACCTTTAATTGAATGACGTTTAATTGAATGACGTAAATGAATCGAGTTTGGTAAATCATGACTACTCCAAAGTGTCGGAGAATTATGTTTAAGATCATAGACGGATAAGTCAGTATGTCAAATTACCTTGGGACACTTTAGCAACTTCAATACGTAACGATATGGATAACATCATAAACGGATTGTGACATCCCTTTATGACGAGTCACTTAACCAAATTACCTCAGCCCACTATAAATAATAACTTTAAAAATTAACGAATTACCCTTTTCATTAACCTCTACAATGCCACCTAGAACATTGAAGCATTCAATTATTACAATAATATTTGGTTTTAGTTAATTCATGAATTCATCAACGTATCTTGATATTATTACAATCATAGTGATA